GCGCATATTACTATTCGCGGATATTATCTACTGTGAAAGGCATTATTGGCATGATCATACAGTAGGTTAATGTCTGGGTCAGACCGAATATGATACTATTTTTGTCTTTGGGGAATATTATATCTACTGTGAAAGGTTAGGATGATACTGTAATTTCAAACCTATTAATTATTAATGATCAATAGATGTTTGTGTAATTTGATACACAGACAATTAAAACTCAATATATAGTATGCAATTTACTGTCTAGTAGCTCTTCAGTGGTATGTCCGAAATGACACCCTATTCCATATGGACACTGGTCAAAAGTAGTGCACTACATAGGGGATAGGTTGCCATATCTGACACTGCCTAGGCCTATCACCAGTAATGACCTTGGCCCTTTCACCCACAGACCCCACAGCACGCCGCACTGCCAAAGCAGGCCCTGCAGCCAGCAGGAACCGCTACGCCAGCCAGTGGACCCTGAACCGGCCCCAACCTCCCACCTCCTCCCACACCCTGAGCACAGACTGGAGACTGCCCACACCGAATGCCGCCGGCTCTGTAGACAAGGAGAGCGACAGCTACAGTGTCAGCCCATCGCAGGACACAGGTACTGGACTGACCCTATGTCTCACATACAACATTAGTCTGCAGCAAAGGGGAGACCACTACTACTGTACGTGGAAGGGTCAGAGTGCTCACGGTATGTTTTAAGATATTTCCTATATATCTTAGGAAATTTCAGCTATGTGCATATACTATAATGGATGTTGTGTGTGTGTGTGTGTGTGTGTGTGTGTGTGTGTGTGTGTGTGTGTGTGTGTGTGTGTGTGTGTGTGTGTGTGTGTGTGTGTGTGTGTGTGTGTGTGTGTGTGTGTGTGTGTGTGTGTGTGTGTGTGTGTGTGTGTGACTACTCAGACCGCGCGCGGAGCAGCATGGTGTCGACAGAGAGCGCGTCGTCCACGTACGAGGAGCTGGCCCGGGCCTACGAGCACGCCAAGATGGAGGAGCATCTGCGGCACGCTAAGTTCACCATCACAGAGTGCTTCATCTCTGACACCTCCTCGGAGCAAATGACGGCCGGCACCAACGACTACACAGACAGCCTGACGTCCAGCACGCCGTCCGAGTCAGGCATCTGCAGGTTCACCGCCTCCCCGCCCAAGCCTCAGGACGTCAGCCGGGTCATGAACATGGCCGCACCCAAGGCCCACAGACCGGGTGAGGAGAAGGCAGCACTCATATACAGAACACACACAGACATACAAACACATACACACACACACACACACACACACAGTACAGTTCAAACCTTACTGAAACTACATTATGATGTATTATTTTCCGCATTACTCTAGATCAGTGATTTCCAACTCCGGTCCTCCAGTACCCCCAACAGTACATATTTTTGTTGTGGCCCTGGAGAAGCACACCTGATTCTACTAATCATCAAGCCCTTGACAAGTTGAATCAGGTGTTTCTGTCTGGGGCAACAACACAAATGTGTGCTGTTGGGGGTACTCGAGGACCGGAGCTGGAAAACACTGCTATAGATAGCAGTTCAGTTCTGGTCCAATTAGGCCTTGGGCCACAACATTACTACTGTAACTTCCATAGATCTCTGGGCTTGTTCAAAGTTAAGTTTTATAGCTTTCATTTAACACAGCATATTACAAAACGCCTATTGCAAAATAATGATCATGATCATGAGATACACTTCCTCAGATAACCCCTCTGGCATGCTGTTAATGCTTGATGAAGTACAAACACTATTAAAACCCAGTAATACCCCTCTCACAGTGCTGTATTCATCTTCAGCGCTCTGCAGAAATGTCTGCACATGGAGGAGCTGTCCGTCTGTCAGGCTATTCGTCTTTCTGAAACTATCCTCTCCCAGGTTGGCCTCATATGACCTGCTGCTCCTCACCTCCCGTTCCTATTGGTACCACTGTTTGGCACAGCTTGTGGACAGACCAAACAGACTGGGTTGAAATACATAGACATGAGGAAATACACATTCTTCAAATACTTTTTGTAAAACATACACACACACAGAGACAGATTGTATATCGTGCGTTTAGCGAGTCCTGGCCTGCCGTGTTGTCAGTCTGGGCTAGGGGTATGAAGACTAGCTAGTTGTTGATGGTGTCTGGAGGCAGGAGCTGGGCTGGGGTGAGTGAGTGAGACGAGGTAGACAGGTTTTGGCTATCTGAGCTGGGTCTTGAGTTTCCGTCCCTCATTATGTTTTCATGGTGCGTACACGAGCCAGCTGCCCACAGTCATCAGCCAGCGGGAGGCTTAAACCATCAGCTGAGGGCAAGTAGAGGCAATCTGTCAATCCAATCTAAAGCTATTGTCTGTCAATACAAAACAGCACTTTACTACCACAATAAAGACGTTCAGTGTGATATCGGTCTTTCAGACGCAGAGCCTGTTGTAGCGTCGTGCTAACCCTGGTGTTACTTTCATCCAGCGGGAGCTGGGCGACACCAGCGACACATAGACAAGCTTTAGAGGTTTCTACAGTAAGTCCCTGTTGAAGACCGTTGTTACCAGTCTGTAATACCATTAGCCAGCTCTGTTGTGGCACACACTGTGGAATTCACACATGTTAGTTTGAACACAGTTCCTTTTTAGGGTGTTTTTGCCCAGTGAGTGTCAGTATGATCAGAATCCTCAAGAAAAAAGGCAATCTTCAATATAAAGCATACATGTTGATGATGACATACAATAGTGTCTGTCTGTCTGTCTGTGGCCCACTGCCCCCCCCCCCCCTTCTGTAATAATGTACCTTTGCCCTGAGTTGACACTGCGACCTCATCTGTCAGTCACACAGGGACACACAGGAGGGCACAGCCCTCTCTCCTGTTACTCTGACATTTGTCAATCACAATCACACACAGCTGATACTGATACAGTAGGTCAACCTGGGGTCATGACTTTGACATTACGTGTATCCACTACGTGTGGGATTTGGCAAGGTCATTTCTTTGTGTGTGTGTGTGTGTGTGTGTGTGACCATAGAGTCATTGGGGCAAACTGGATGGAAACATTGGGCAACGATCTGTGTGACCTCTCATAAACAGTCTGTCCTGTACAATTACTGTAGGGAGCCAATCAAAGAGGATGATCTTGAGGTTCTCAGCTCATAAACATTTACTGCAACACTGTTTCTTGTGCTGAGTAGTCAACATGTGATGGGCCTTTAAACAATCCAAGGTGTCTCTGTGTGTTTGGGTGTGTGTGGGTGTGTGCATGCGTGCACACGCGATGTGTCTGTCTGTTTACCAATGTGTGGGTAGTTGTGGAAGCTCATTGGAAGGCCAGATTACAGAAAATGAGAACAGCTCCTTCCCCAGCAGCACAGATCGACTTGGGCACACAAAATGTTAAAACACTCATATACATCAAACCCCCCAGCTTAGAGACTTATTGCATGGCTGGGAATCATTATTGTGTAGCGGATACAAGTTGTGCCATTACCTACGCCCTGCAACTTTCAGCTAAATAAATTCCCAATGAGCTCCCAAAGAAAAGCTTAAATCTATATTTAATTCAATTAAAGCTGGTTGCCATTTATCATCTTTACTGGTTTTAATAAAGCCTATTATATACACAGTAAATTATGCATGCTCCCTGCGAACTCTGGGATTCAGTCACTAAGGTCACATGTAGGATACAATCTACATAGATGGGCCAGTCCTCCTCTGTGTGGTGGTGGTGGTGGCGGTGATGGTCGTGGGGGATAGTGATTTGGCATAGAAAAGGCCAGTCACTGAAGCCTGCTGATCTCTGTGGCCTCTGAAAGATTAGTATTGAAGACATCCATTAGAGCAGTAATGGAACAGTACATGTCTCCCCACCACTCCTAATCAAGTCTAAAATCTTTAGTACGACTCATACATCTCTGGCTACGTCTTTGTGATGATCTAATTTCCTAAATTAAATATGTAATTTATTCAGTGGACGAGATACATTTACAGCAGAAGTGATGGTATCATCATCCACTCAACCATGTCCAGTGATTCACTGTCTGCATGGGGGAATACTGTGTAGAGAAGCCCAAGTCTTTTAAAGTGCTGCAGTGTCATTGACTAAACGTACACTTGGGTTACGTCACAGGCTTGGTTTATTCTGGCTCCTGGACAGCAAAGATTCTGTCTCCGAATGAGATTTGAACCACCTTTTTGCTTCAGTTAACCCCCGGTACAGATGAGGAGGGTTTGAGAGTAGGCAGTGCAGGTCTGTTCGACGTGATAGTCCTGAAGAAATTGAAAAGTGATTTGAATATGAATCTGACAGGTTAATGCAGCAATATCGTAGGATAAGTAATCTCGTCGCCAAGCCATAAAAAAATATACCGTCCTGAAATCCTTATAGAATCTGTATCCTCCCGACTCAATATGATAGATTAGATTACATTATCCAAACTGAAATCATATTTCCTCAACTAATTTGATTTCCTATCATATACCATATATCCTGGCAGAAAGTACATACCTTATGAAAAGACCCCTATGGAATAGAAAGTATCAGAGTAATGCTGACATTGAGAATTGTCCTCCCAGTGTAGTGAGTGTACCCCTCTAACCTTTCTGACTGGGTACCCCTCTAACCCCCCTCTCTGGTCTCATCCCTCAGGAGGAGAGCTGGTGCACCTGCCCCCGTACCTACGCATGGACTTCCTGTTAAACCGTGGCTCTGCGTCGGGAGGCCGGGGGTCCAATGGTGGTAACGGAGGAAGAGAAGGAGGAGGAGGGGAGGCAGGGGCGTTGGGCCAGGCGTGTCTGGAGCCCCAGAAGAGCCGCACCCTGAAACGGCCCCCGCTCCTGGAGCCCACACCCATGGAGGTGCCCACGTCCAGGGAGGTGCAGCAGTGGCAGCCAGAGACTGCCTCCACACTGCCCCAGCGTGAGCCCACTGGCCGTGAGGCCACAGGAGACCTGGCCCAGGCGCAGGCCGCCAAGCTCAGCAGCTCACAGGAGTCCCTGCTAGACTCCAGAGGACACCTAAAACAGAGCAACAACCCCTACGCAAAGTCCTACACACTGGTATAACACAAGGAGTTATGTTACACACTCCAGGACTTGGACTGTATACTCTACTGCAGCTCTACACAGAGAGCTGGCACGGAACAATGATGATGATGATGATGGACACTTTTCAACAACAACTAAAGTTGTATATTTCTGACTTTGATTATTTCTGTCTTTCTTTCTCTTACTTTCTTCTTCTCTCTTTTCTGTCTATTCCTTTCTTTCATTCTTTTGTTCTTTCTCCCTTCTTTCCTCTTCTGGCTCTCATTTCTCCTTTTTATTTTCTATTTGAGTATTTTATTCTAAACACCATATAAAGATTGCCAAAATAATGTATTTAAGTTTGACAGAGAAAAATACTATTGAATTTATATCAACGATAATTATAGTCATTATTATTATATATAAAATAGAAAAATTTCGAAGAAGAAGACTCTGCAGGAGGATATTGCTTTCTTCATTTATTTATTTTGTATGTCGCAGTGTGATCAAATCGATGATTAGGTATCTGCCGGTTTTTCAATAACGAGAGGAGCCAAGGAAAATATCTGCATTAAAGCTGAACCTGTCTGTCCATGCCGTCCACTCAATCTACTCAGATAGATTGTTACTACGTTCTTCAACCTTTCCAATGACTGCATGGGGACTGATCTATGACAATTATAGGAATGGCTGGAAAATCCAAAATATAATTTTGTCACACTATGAAAATTACACAATGTGAATAAATATAAAAGAGATCACTTTTATTTGTGGATATTACAGGGGAAATGATTTGGTTAATAAAGTCCTTAGTCATGTTTGCACATGTGGGTTTGATTTGAGATGTGGACACTACTGCTTCCTTTCTTTATTCCTCCATCTCTACCCTCTCAGCCACCTCAGAGCCCAGCACACAGATCGCTTCATCAAATCAAAATCAAATCAAATTTGATTTATCACATGCGCCGAATACAACAGGTGTAGACCTTACTGTGAAATGATTACTTAAACAACAATGCAGCGTTTAAAAAAAGTAAGAAACATTTGCTAAATAAACTAAAGGAAAAATAGTAATACAATAGAATAACAATAACGAGGCTAAATACAAGAGGTACCGCTACCGAGTCAATGTGCAAGGGTACAGGTTAGTCGAGGTAACTGCAATAATTGATCTGGGTGTATACATGATAAATGACTCTGAACAGGTCACCTGGATCGGGTCTCACATTATATTAGCTAGTAGAGGGCAGGCAGGGTACAGACATCACCGTTCCCTATCAGACCTCAGGGGTATCTGAGTCCAGTGACACCCTCACCCTTAGTGCAGAGGGTTCACTGCTTAAATAAGTATGATTTATCTACAGTAGTGACGACTTATTGGTATGTGGACAACTGACAATCCAATACATTCATCACCTGAAAGCCCAGATCTGATTTTAAAACTGTAGTGAAGGTTATTGACTAGACATCATGCCTGTCATCATTGTGACCTTATTTCAGTGAGATGACAAACTAATGAAAGATGAGACTTCCTGTGTCTTAGTCCATGTTTCGAGGTCATCAAAGTCCTTTAGCACTGGTTGTATCTAACTGAGTGTTGTGCTCTTTTGATCTGACTTCTCTACATGGCTCTCACTGGGTTTCCCTGGAGTTGTACCCCCAACAGAGGGCGCTGTGTAGTCACTCAACACAGCATCTCTGTGACAATAAATGAGGAGGAATTGGTTTTGCTTTAGAGAGGGCTGTACAGTATTAAACACATTTTGACGTTCTTATGGGAATCTTCAAGGGCAGGACAGGAACACACTGTAGTCTATCCAGCCATTTGGAGCGTCGCTAGACTCTACCTCAAAGAACCCAATCAATTATTCATCCCCACACCGACACTGTGTCCCAGATCAGGTTCACATTGTCACACACTGATCCTCCTATGCCAGAGTATTGGGCACCACACACACACACACACACACACACACACACACACACACAGCACTATGCCACTGCAGGGAGTGGTAGTGACATCTTAATGAATCTACTACCTCCCTGGAAAGTTAGGAACACTATGGAGGTGCGCTATTGGGTTTGTCTGCTGTCCAAAAGGGACCGCATGTAGACACACCATCTATAATGTAGCACTGGAGATCTGTTGAGACACTCTACTGAGCCTGAGGAGTCACATCACAGTTGTGGGCCTTACAACATAATAGAAATAGGTACTTGGAGTCAGAAGATATGTTGTGTTTTGAAAAACATAGGAGCCTTTTATTGTGCTTCACACATCTACATTACATGATGACATATTCCTAATTGACTTGATACCACATACTGTACATACTAACATGATGTAACTGGGTAGAAGCTTTTCCTGTCTTTACATGGAAAGTGTGGTTATAACTAATTTATTCTACATATCGTCGCTGTCTGATGAAAACCTTGTAACAAATCTTTGGCAAATTTGTATTTAATTTTTTCATTTATTGAAAGTAGCAACTCCCCTCAATGTACTCTGAACATTTCATGACTCTAGGACCAAGAAAATATGTTCAGAATAGCTTCTGATGTTTTATAATTGTTGGTTCGTTAAAGAAAAATTATGGTAATTGTATTAAATTTCCTAATAAGTTTTTGTTTTGTAAATGAGGTTTTCATCAGACAGCAACAATATTTTACATTTTAGTCATTTAGCAGACACTCTTATTCAGAGTGCCTTACAGTAGTGAGTGTATACATTTTTGTATTGGTCCCCAGTGGGAATCAAACCCACAGCCCTGGCGTTGCAAGCACCATACTTTACCAACTGAGCCACACAGGACAACATGCTTATATATATATAAGTAGCAGTCAAAAGTTTGGACACACCTACTCATTCAAGGGTTTTCTTTATTTTGACTATTTTCTACATTGTACAATAATAGTGAACAGATCAAAACTATGAAATAACACACATGGAATCATGTAGTAACCAAAAAAGTGTTAAACAAATCCAAATATATTTTAGATTATAGATTCTTTGCCTTGATGACAGCTTTGCACACTCTTGGCATTCTCTCAACCAGTTTCATGAGGAATGCTTTTCCAACATTCTTGAAGGAGTTCACTTGTTGGCTGCTTTTCCTTCACTCTGCGGTCCAACTCATCCCAAATCATCTCAATTGGGTTGAGGTCAGGTGATTGTGGAGGCCAGGTCATCTGATGCAGCACTCCATCACTCTCCTTCTTGGTCAAATAGCCCTTACACAGCCTGGAGGTGTGTTTTGGGTCATTGTCCTGTTGAAAAACAAATGATAGTCCCACTCAGCGCAAACCAGATTGGATGGCGTATCACTGCAGAATGCTGTGGCAGCCATGCTGGTTAAGTGTGCCTTGAATTCTAAATAAATCACAGACAGCGTCACCAGCAAAGCACCCCCACACCATCACACATCCTCCTCCATGCTTCATGGTGGGAACCACACATGCGGAGATCATCCATTCACTTACTCTGCGTCTCACAAAGACACGGCGGTTGGAACCATAAATCTCCAATTTGGACTCCAGACCAAAGGACACATTTCCACCGGTCTAATGTTCATTGCTCGTGTTTCTTGGCCCAAGCAAGTCTCTTCTTCTTATTGGTGTCCTTTAGTAGTGGTTTCTTTGCAGCAATTCGTCCATGAAGGCCTGATTCACGTAGTCTCCTCTGAACAGTTGATGTTGAGATGTGTCTGTTACTTGAACTCTCAGAAGCATTTATTTAGGTTGCAATTTCTGAGGCTGGTAACTCTAATGAACTTATCCTTTGCAGCAGAGGTAACTCTGGGTCTTCTTTTCCTGTGGCGGTCCTCATGAGAGACAGTTTCATCATAGCGCTTGATGGTTTTTGCGACTTCACTTGAAGAAACTTTTAAAGTTCCTGAAATGTTCCAGATTGACTGACCTTCATGTCTTAAAGTAATGATGGACTGTAGTTTCTCTTTGCTTATTTGAGCTGTTCTTGCCATAATATGGACTTGGTCTTTTACCAAATAGGGCTATCTTCTGTATACCACCCCTACCTTGTCACAACACAGTGAAGAGGCGACTCCGGGATGCTGACCTTCTAGGCAGAGTGGCAAAGAAAAAGCCATATCTCAGACTGGCCAATAAAAAGTAAAGATTTTAGATGGGCAGTCTGAGATATGGCTTTTTCTTTGCAACTCTGCCTAGAATGTCAGCATCCCGGAGTCGCCTCTTCACTGTTGACGTTGAGACTAGTGTTTTGCGGGTACTATTTAATGAAGCTGCCAGTTGAGGACCTGTGAGGCGCCTGTTTCTCAAACTAGATACTCTAATGTATTTGTCCTCTTGCTGAGTTGTGCACCGGGGCCTCCCACTCCTCTTTCTATTCTGGTTAGAGGCAGTTTACACTGTTCTGTGAAGGGAGTATTACACAGCGTTGTACAAGATCTTTAGTTTCTTGGCAATTTCTCGCATGGAATAGCCTTCATTTCTCAGAACAAGAATAGACTGACCAGTTTCAGAAGAAAGTTATTTGTTTCTGGCCATTTTGAACCTGTAATCGAACCCACAATTGCTGATGCTCCAGATACTCAACTAGTCTCAAGAAGGCAAGTTTTATTGTTTTTTTAATCAACACAACAGTTTTCAGCTGTGCTAACATAATTGCAAAATGGTTTTCTAATGATAAATTAGCCTTTTAAAATGATAAACTTGGATTAGCAAACACAATGTGCTATTGGAACACAGGACTGATGGTTGCTGATAATGGGCCTATGTAAGCTTATGTAGATATTCCATTAAAAATCAGCCATTTCCAGCTAAAATAGCCATTTACAACATTAACAATGTCTACACTGTATTTCCGATCAATTTGATGTTACTTTAATCCACATATTTTTTTGCTTTTCTTTCGAAAACAAGGACATTTCTAAGTGACCCCAAACTTTTGAACGGTATTATGTATATTTACAGTTGAAGTCGAAAGTTTACATACACTTAGGTTGGAGTCATTAAAACTCGTTTTTCAACCACTCCACAAATTTCTTGTTAACCAACTATAG